TTTCCTCCTAGCTCTTCCTCTGGCAAAACTTATTCCTTCCTTCCTTTATTTCTGCAACCGGCTTGTGAGTATCTAAAGAATCTGCCTCCAAGCCTGCTTTGCTGTTTGCAACTTCATGGAGCTGCCTCTCAAAAGGTACCCAAGATAGCTTCCCCCGCCATCACCTTCCCCCAGCCTCTGGTGTCCATCGAGTTGAAGCAGGCTTGAGGGTAGAAATGAGTATGCCGAAGCAGGAAAAAAAATGTTATACAGTGGGCATGCCCTGATCTTGTATTTTGTGCAGGCTGCATTCAGCCTAAGCTCTTTGAACAGGTCTGGGAGCTGTAGAGACAATCTGTGTTCATACTTACGTTGGATTTTAGTTGCCAGTCTTGCTGATGTTATGTGAGCTAACTTGGGTCTGGAAGCAATCTAATCGTATTCATGCAGGACGCCTCTCGAGCCAAAAAGCTCTGAAGAGAGGTGTCACGAGTAACGGTTGTCACACAGCGCCGAGGTCAGGGTATGCTCAGCTGCACTGGTTTTCGACCTGAGCTCTGCCTTGCAGACTGATGAGCCCAGGTAGCCAAACACCTCCTCGGGGACCTCGGTCCAGACTGTGTGCTGTGTAGATAGAGTGGAAGGTCTGTGGGAAGTCTGCAGGTGGATGGAGCTGCTGGGTATCCTTTTGCTTCAGATAATACAGCACGCACTTGAATGGGAGCCTGTTGCTCTCTGTGTTCACTGATTCTCTGCTCCTCGTTCCTAATGTGCTGTTAATCCTTCCCTTTCCCAATTCCCTGAAGTCTCTGGTCCAAGGCACCGTTCCTACCAACCTGCCAACGGAGATGCCCCAGCTGATCCCTGTGTTTCCGGGGGGAACTCCGCTGCTGCCCCCAGTCGTGACAGCCAGCATCCCTGTCTCCACCCCGCTGCCACCTGCCTCCTTCGGCCTGGTGATGGATCCCACCAAGCAGCTCTCCTCCTCCTCTGTCCTGGATGCCTTCGAGGCCCCGCCGGGAGGAAGTGGCAGCTCCACCTTAGATTCGCTGGATTCCCTGGATCTGCTCCCCTACACAGACTCACGGCTTGATGCCCTGGACTCCTTTGGGACAAGCAGAGGGTCGCTGGATGCCTTGGATTCCTTTGCCGTTGGTAGGTGCAGGGCTGATGGGGTTTTGTGCTGCTTTACCTGTGAATGCAAGCCAAAATTACTTCCTTTAGTGCTGAGGACTTCTCTCATATAGCTTTGTCTGCCGGTCCTGCAGACTGGGAGTACAAATGTAGAATGTCTTGGACAGAGCAGCTGAATATATCTGGTTCAGAAAGGCTATAGGTGTGTGTAACCAGTATGTGCATGGTGTGAAATCTCAGAGGACAAAGGAACACAAAGGTGTATAACGATGAGCAATGAGATTTAAACCTGCCTTGGTGTCCAGGACACCTCGCTTGGCAGAGTTTGCTAGGCTCTAACATGATTCCTCCGCCCTCCCCGGTGACTCTTTGACATTTTGGACCAAATGAGCAAACTCCTGGTGACTGTTTTAGATGATGTAGGACCTCGTTGCACTGGGCAGAACAGTAGAGGCCAAGGTGGGTCTTTCCTGTCTCTGGATTCAGGGCAATGAGTGTCCTGTTGAACGGGTCACTGCACTCTCACGTCACAAGAAGCAAAGCTGTGGAGGATGGTGGGCAAAGAGTAGGTCCTCTCCTGTCCCAGGAGAGAAGGCAGGCTTCTTCTTGGCTGCCTTGTCCCCAGTATTGCAGCAAAAGTATTTTGGGAAGAGCAGCGATTGTCCAGTCAGCACTTCAACACGCAGATTCACCTCAGCATTGGGCTACCTTGGAGTTGCCACCTTGGGAATGCCAGCGCTCAGCAACATGGAGTTGGGTTCAGTAGGGTTTGGGGAACAAGGCGGCCTTTCCTGGAGTTTTTCCAAGACTTAGACAGGTGGTTTGGGGAAAAAGTACTAAAACGTTATGAAATAAATAAAGCAAATGGATTTAATAAACATTTGTTTGTCTTTTTGTGAGCAGGACTGCCTCTGAAACTGCAATAATTGTTTTTGTTTTGTGGGACTTTTTTTCCCCTTCTTTCACCCAGAAGAAACTAGCCCTCAGGAACTGCGACACACACCTGGCAGCCAAAAACCATCCCCCGTGGTGAGTGAGCCGCTCCCCCGTGCTGATGTCCCAAGGTGCTCTGGAGCCAAGGTAGTAGTGACTTGGGTGATGTAGGTAATTTGGGCCCCTCTTCTTAACCTGCCCCAGTGAGTGTTGCCTCCCGTGGTGTGGCAAGGCAGGTAAAGATTTCCCCAGAGTCAGTAGGAAGGCGTTTGTTCCATCTTCACTTTTGTCTGCAGCTGTGCATATTGCCAAGGTAAACATGGTGTGACTGAGGTTGTAGGCTCAGCAGGGGATCGTGGAGGCCAGTGTCCCACTATATCTGGCAGCCACATAACCCTGAAGGATGGAGCACAGTAAGCCAGGTTTGTCTTAAAACTTGGGAGGTTCTTTGCTCCTCTCTGCCCCTGTCAGAAGGCTTTTACAGATAGAGTGTCCTGCCCCTGTCCTATGTCTCCAGTCTTGGAGGAAGAGGGGAGGATTATCTACGGTTGGCAAGCTTGGAACAAGAATTAAGAATTCTTAAGTTCCTGGCATCCTGCTATCCCTGTTACTTCAATGTGGAGCCAAGAGTCTGTCCTCAGATTAATCTGCTCCCTGAAGACTCACTGATAAGTGGTTTGGTTTTTTCCCAGGTTGGGATAGGGTTGATTTGAGAATCTTCAGAGGCAGAGTTGGTCATGGTGGAAGGAATGGGAAGGAGTGAGGGGAGCAGTTTGTTCTGTGGCTCATGACAGAGCACTGAGGTCCCTTACCGAGAGGGAGAGAGACCCATCTTTGAAGTGAACATACCACACTGTTTGTTGTCTTCAACGAGGTTGTGTGCAGCTCTTTCGGAAATGTAGCTTCAGATGTGAACATTTGGATGAAAGAGAAAATGGTGAAGGTTTTTGAGAGACTGGAATGGGGCAAGGGACTAGAGAGGTTTCTTACCCATGTGGTTGCAGAGCTGAGAAGAGACGTACGTGTGCTTTTGCTCAGGTCGGCCTTGGTGGAGTGAGTCACTCAGCTGTGCCCAAGGTCACCGAGCACTTGCTGTCCCAGCCAGAACCAGTAATGCCCAACACAGCCCTGCTGGTGAAGAACCCCCTGGCGTCTACTCACGTCTTTAAACAAGCCTGTCATATCTGCTACCCCAAAACAGGTGATGCGCTTGCTCTGCCACCCAGAGCGCTGCCCAGGGCTAGGGTTTGCGTTTTGCTGGGCTGATGGGGTTGTTCTCTCGTGCAGGGCCCAAGGCTGGCGATTACACCTATCGGGAAGGCTTGGAGCACAAGTGCAAGCGTGACATCCTGCTGGGCAGGCTGAAGAACTCAGAAGACAAGACCTGGAAGAGGATTCGTCCTCGCCCAACCAAAACCAACTTTGTAGGATCCTATTACCTGTGCAAAGGTGATCTGGAGGGAATAGGGCTGTTGGTGGCTGGGAAGGGGTTGTACAGTGCGTGCCAGAGGAGGTTGGGAGGGAACTTCCAGTAGGTATCACCTGCTGTCTTTGCGGTCTTCTGTCCCATCAGTAGCTCATGGACCAGGAGGCTCAATACAACGAAAAGCCATGAGTTCCCTGTGGAGAGCGGGCAGGTTTTAAAGTGGTGGAGCAGAAGACTTGCAAAGGCATAGTGAGGTGCTGTGCCCAGCCGAGCGCTCAGAGCTGCCCTGACATGGGCTTTGCCGAGAACCTGCCTCCCGTACGTGCGCCTGCATTAGTCCCGCTCCACCCCACAGCCTAGGTTCTGCCTAAGGAAAAGCTCTCTCTGCCTGCTCCTGTGCTCCAGCCCATCCTGCTGTAGGTGCGGGCAATGTGACCAGACTAGTCCCTGAGACAGTGTCATTACAAAGTACCTGATGAGGTGGGGAGATTGCAAGAGCCAAGATAACAGGGCTCCTTAGTGCTGGGCCGCTAAGAAAACTTCATCTGGATTAGTTTTAAAAGGGGTTGGTTAAATCGTGGTCTGTCCCTGGCCAGGCATTGAATTAAAGCAGGCCTCCATTTTGAGATGGTTTCCACAATGGATGGCGTTACTTGAGATTGTCACCATTCAGTAGTTTGTATTAACTTTCCTGAATGTCTTGGTAGAGACAAACTTGGGAGGGAGATGTCTTGTCTTTTTTCTGTAACTCTGTGTTTTCTTGCTTTCAGCCCCTTGTGAGGTGTGGGCAGTGGGAGGAGACGAGAGAGAGTTTAGTTTCTGACTGGGCCGCCCTCCCTGTGTGGTGGTGTGTGCTGTTTGTTGCTTTGTAGATATGCTTAACAAGCAGGACTGTAAGTACGGGGATAACTGCACCTTCGCGTACCACCAGGAAGAGATCGACGTGTGGACGGAGGAGAGGAAGGGGACCCTCAACCGTGACCTCCTCTTTGACCCGCTAGGTGGGATCAAGCAGAGCAGCCTCACCATTGCCAAGCTCCTCAAGGAACATCAGGGCATCTTCACCTTCCTCTGTGAGGTACAGAGCTGATGGGAGGGAGCAGGCACCCTTCGTCATCTCAGTGTATATCTGGACCATTGATCTGTTGATAGTTGCCATGGTGGGAACAGGGTGGGATGACTTGCACAACTGGAGTGCTGCAGTGGATGGCTATAAACTCTTCAGAAGGGCTAGGCAAGGAAGGAGAGGTGGTGGGGTGGCCCTGTATGTTAGGGGGTGTTTTGACTGTCTAGAGATTAATGATGGTGATGATAGGGCTGAGTGTTTATGAGTAAGAATCAAGGGGAAGGCCAACAAGGCAGATATCGCGGTGGGAGTCTGTTACAGACCACCTAACCAGGATGAAGAGGCAGATGAAATATTCTATAAGTAGCTAGGAGAAGTCTCACAATCACTAGCCCTTGTTCTCATGGGTGACTTAAACTTAGCAGACATCTGCTGGAAATACAGCACAGCAGAGAGGAAACAGTCTAGGAGGTTCCTGGCGTGTGTGGAAGATGATAACTTCCTGACACAGCTGGTGAGGGAGACAACGAGGGAAGGTGCCCGCTGGCCGTGTTGTTTGTGAACAGAGAAGGACTTGTGGGTGATGTGGTTGGAGGCTGTCTTGGGCATAGTGATCACGAAATGACAGTTTTCTCCATTCTCGGAGAAGTAAGGAGAGGGGTCAGCAGAACTGCTGCCTTGGACTTCTGGAGGGCAGACTTTGGTCTGCTCGGGAGCCTGGTTGACCGAATCCCTTGGGAGGCAGTCCTGAAGGGG